AGAGAGGCAAGCATCATTATTCTCATTACTTCAGAAGAGATCCTAAGGCTAAAAGATCCTAAGGTTCAAATGACAAGAGGATGAAGCTGTGTACAAGTCAAGATGCAAGTGGAGGATTTCCTTTTCCACTTTGTGATCAGGATTCTCCTCCCACTTCCTTCTGCTTCTTGGTGCTTAAGGGAGGAAGGGGAGAGAGAGACAGAGAGACAGAGACAGAGACAGAGACACAGAGGCAGAGGTGGAGAGGGATGGAGAGAGACAGACAGAGAAAGACAAAAAGACAGACACACACAGAGACACAGAAAAAGAGAGGGACAAAGACAGTGATAGAGATGGAGAAACAGAGAGACAGAGGCATACAGAAATAGAGAGAGAGACAGACAGGGACAGAGACAGAGAGGGTCAGAGACAGAGACAGATGGAAACAGAGACAGAGAAAGGAAGAGACACACATAGAGACACAGAGAGAGACACACAGAGACATAGAGACAGAGACAGACAGAGATAGAGACAGCAAGACAGAGACAGGGAGACAGAGGAAGAAAGGGAGAGTGTGAGAGAGACCAAGACAAAAGGAGGAAGAAGAGAAGGAGGAAAAAGAGAAAGAAGAGAGCACCAGGATTAAGCACAGGGATATCAGTTAGCAATAGTTCAAGATGCCTGCATTTTCAAGTGATAAGAGGTTTACTGACAATGTCTCTGTGTCTCCCTATGAGGCTGCCATCTTTAATTATTAAAACAGAGAAGCTTCATCAACATTCTGAGTCCTTGGAGACAACCAGTAATTATTTACAACTCTGTTCCCCACACACCCCCACCAAACTTCAAAGGAAGCTCATTGCCAGGCTCAAAATTCTTCAAATTACTTTCCCATCATTCCCAAAAGATGTTTATAAGTAGTTCATAATAAGGATCTAATCTGATCCCTCAGGTTATTAAAGAAACCCATGGTCGATGGACGGTGATAAAATTATGTGAGCTCCCAACAATTGTCTTCTGGTTGTTCTTCCAAAGAGGAGTTAACCGCTGCCTTAATGAAATATCCAATCTATCTTACAGAAATACTTTATTGGAATCCTTTCCTTAGGCTTTAATTTGCAAAATGGTTGGATTGCCCTTCTCAAAAGTGAACTGGTTTTGGAATTATTAAGAGCAGCATATTAAAAAGGAGGAGCTGGATGGGGCTGTCTCGAAGGTTGCCAGTAAAAATACAGATGCCCTCTGTTTTCCATATGATAGCATTTCAAGAAAAAAGGGCCAGGGCATGCATCAGAATACGTGGCCCCAACTAAAGGTGAAGCAGCCAAGCTCTTTAAAATGAGAGCAGAGTTCTCATTTAGCATCCAAGAATTGAGGAATTTTAGGACTGGAAAAGATCTTTGAGGTCACACACACTGTAATTTATAAATGGAGAAATTTGTTTACTGATGTCTCTGAAGAAAACAAAACAAAAGAAAAGAACCTGACATCACAAAATTATAACAATCAGGTGTTCCAGGATGCTCCTGCTATTATTATTTCAACATGTCTCTCTCTTCTATCCCCCCTCCTCCCACCCCTTTTTGGCCAGCAAACTTGGAGATCATTATCAAAAAAAAAATCAGAGTTTCTGAGGTGTTTAGTACAGATTGTAAGATTTTCTGGGAAGTTGTCTTTGTTACAATCAAGAAGCAATGTAGGAAATTCTTGCCCACTGTTGGACTATTCTGAGCACTGCGGAAAGCATAGGAATCAGTCTCTATTGTTCCCTTGCTGTTGACAATGTGCATTCATATACCCACTATAAATCCATCCAAGGGTACTGGATTGGTTCCTCATGAGCCAGAAGAATGATATACTGCCCTTCGTAGGAAAGGTGCCCTGCTACCCCATCATCAACAGGGTATGTAGGGATGGATTGGTGGTAATCTAGCCACTCTCTTACCTGGTCCTTTTCTTGTGACTGAGGGAGTGTCTTTATGAAATAGAGAGAGGAGTCCCATCTGTCCCCTAAGGAAGGAGTAGAAATGATGCCACATAGTCAATTTTAGGGACCGAATCCAGGGCCTCATAGTCTAATCAACTGAGACAAAAAGAGGTCAAAGCTTTAATAGTAACAATAATGGTACATCTTTATTTTAAAATGGAGATGTATAAGGCTTTTTACCATTTGAAAAGTACTTTCACACAGATTATGTGGTTTTTCTGGTCTAAAACTATTGTGACTCTTCTCATAACTCTATTAGAAGTTAAAGCACAATAAAATAATTGAAACTAAAAAAAAGATGTTAAAGCAGATAAGTATGGGGCTAATTGGTATGTGTGTATATAGACATACATATATACATATGTATATATGTGAATGTGTGTGTATACATATGCATATACACATATGTATTTCAGACATATGATTTCATTGGTCCAGGGAATAGGAACTCCCAGTAAGGAAACTCCTTCCACCAATGCTGGTGAGTAATTATTCTTCAACTTATATATAGTCTTAGCACCAGGGCTCTTCGCCTTCTTTTGTGTCTGTCTGAACCCCTTTGGTCACCTGACCTCTTTTAAGAATAATGTCTTAAATGCACAGAACAAAGTACACAGAACGACAATAGAAACCAATTATTTTGATATTGAATTATCAAAATATTTACAAGACAAGTTCATCGACCCCATGTAAAGAACCTCTGCCTTAGAGAATTGTTTAGGGGCACTGAGAGGTAGCTCAGGGGCAGCTAGGTGGCACAGTGGATAAAATGCCAGGCCTGGAGTCTGGAAGACCTGAATTCAAATCCAGCCTCAGACACTAGCTGTGTGACCCTGGGCAAATCACTTAACCCTGTCTGCCTCAGCTTTCTCATCGGTAAAATGAGCTGGAGAAGGAAGTGGCAAACTGCTTTTTGCCAAGAAAACCCCAAATGGGGTCATGAAGAGTTGGACAAGACTGAAACAACTGAAATTTCTTTGTGACCTTGGGCAAGTCACTTCTCCAGGGATCTCAGTTTCTTCATCGAAAAATGAGGAGATTATACTAAATAACCTCAAAGGTCATTTCTAGCTCTCAGCTCTATGTGACTTTATGATCAGTAACCACAACAAACGGACTAAAGGATAAGCCAGCACAGACAACTCTATACATGCTGGCAAACAATTCCACAATCAGAGCTTAGTTTAAAATATGCATAAACTCAACAAAAGAGAAAGAAGATTTATGTCATGTATAAGCATTGATGGAAGTGGTTTCTGTGGTAAAGAGAATGAAAGTCATCCTTTTGCAATAGATAGGATTTGAGAGAGAGGAATTTCTGCATCATTATTGAGAACTTTGCAAAATGCTGCTGCAGTTGTATCTGATTTTGCTAGCTGTGGGTTGGATCCATTTCCTTTGAATTTTATTTGCAGGTTAGTGAAGGAAGATGACCGTCTCGTTTGGTCTTCTTATGGCTGCTGATGAGACGTAGGTTATGGGATGAGGACAAATAGAAAGAGTACTTTGCTAGCCTAGCATGGCCCTGCTTTAAGGGCAGCTTATGTTAGGAACTTGTGCCTGGCTTTGGCAAAATGCTACTTTTGCCTGGGTTTATGTCCCTCCCCTACAGAATCATTTTGGAAATTATTGTGTTAATAATAAAGGCTGGCATTTATATAGTTTTTAAAAGCTTGCAGAACACTTTACAAATGTTATCTCATTTAATTCTTGCAACAACTTATTAGGTAGGTGCTGTTTTCATCTTTATTTTTACAGAAAAGGAAACTGTATCTGCAAGATTCAATTGACTTGCCTGGTCATTCAGCCAGGATTTGTACTCAGGTCTTCCTGACTCCAAGCCCAACACTCCATCCACTGCCCCACCTAACTGCCTCAATGTGATGCACATGAAATCACTATCTTTCTTTCTTTCTTTCTTTCTTTCTTTCTTTCTTTCTTTCTTTCTTTCTTTCTTTCTTTCTTTCTTTCTTTCTTTCTTTCTTTCTTTCTTTCTTTCTTTCTTTTTTCTTTCTTTCTTTTTTCTTTCTTCTCTCTTTCTCTCTCCCTCCTCCTCCCTCCCTCCCTCCCTCCCTCCCTCCCTCCCTCCCTCCCCCTCTCCCTCCCTCTCTCTCTCTCTCTCTCTCTCTCTCTCTCTCTCTCTCTCTCTCTCTCTCTCTCTCTCTTTCTTTCTTCATGCCAGATATCACACCCCTACCTGTGGACGCTCTGCCCAAATGGAATGTAAATTTTAATCTCTGAAACTTTTTGTTTTGTTTTTCTCTTAAAGGCCAACCTTAACCTCAAAACACTCTGGTCCGAGACCAGTCCCTACCTGGTCACTGTTTGGGCCCTGATTGGCTCAGAATGAATGTAAATAACAATTGCTTCTGTTTTGGCCAGAGGGTCTTCTCCTCCCAGATCTATTTTTTTTTTAAAGAGGCCATTCTTTGCCTCATTTCATTAAGCCTTAATCACTGAATGGGTGCTGCCTCAGTCAAACAGAGACCAGTTAGAGACCTTCCATTCTGGGCCATCTCCACTTGTCCTGATCCATATCTGACCATGGGACCTGGATGGCTCCAGAGGAGAAAGTGAGGCTGGTACTTTGCACAATGCTCCCTCACTTATATCCAATTCACTTGCATGTCATGGCTTCTTCTCCCTGATGTCATGGTCCTCTTCCAGAAAGGACAAACAGCAGCAACCCACTGCCCCACCTAACTGCCTCAGTGTGATGCATGTGAAATCAATATACAGTAATACTTCATTGATTTGTACTAAATGATAGAAAGAGCTGTTTGGGTTGGGGACATTTCTAAATTATAGATAGTTGTTTAAATGTATCATCGGCGAATGGCTGAACAAATTGTGCTATATGAATGTAATGGAATACTATTGTGCTATAAGAAATGATGAGCAGGCAGACTTCAAAAAAACCTGGAAAGACTTACATGAACCGATGCAGAGTGAAATGAGTAGAACCAGGAGAACATTGTACACAGTAACAGCCACATTGTAAATGACTGACTTTGATCAACTTGGCTTTTCACAGCAGTGCAAGAATCTACGACAACTCCAAAAGACTCATGATGGAAATTGCTATCCACGCCCAGAGAAAGAACTATGGAGTCTGAATGTAGATTTAAGCATACTATTTCCTCCCTTTTTCCTTTGTTGTTTGGTTTTATTGCTTCATTCTCATGGTTCTTCCCATTAGTTCTAATTACTCTTTACATCATGACTAATGGGAAAATATGCTTAATATGAATGTATAAGCAGAGCCTAAATCAGATTGCACACCATCTTGGGGTGGGGGAAGAGGAGTAGGAGGGGGAGAAAATTTAAAACTCAAAATCTTATGGAAGTGAATATTGAAAACTAAAAATAAATTAATTACTTATTAAAAAATTAAGAAATGAAAAAAAAATAAAGAAATGTATCATTGAATCACAGACTCTCAGAGTTAGAAGTAACCTCAGGGGCCATGTAGTCCAGTTCATACTGGGATAAGAATCTCTTCTACAACACACCAGTGAGTGTTTATGTAGCTTTTGCTTGAAGATGTCCAATGAGGGGAAACCCATTGTCCCCAGAGGAAACTTATTTTACTTTTGGTTCATCCTAACTGTTAGAGAGAGGCAGCTGGGTGGTGCACTGGATAAAATTCTGGTCCTGGAGTTGGGAAAATCTGAGTTTAAATCTGGCTTCAGACATTTACTAGCTGTGTGACCCTGGGCAAGTCATTTAACCCCTATTTGCCTTAGTTCCTTATCTGTAAAATGGGAACACACTGGAGAAGGAAATGGCAAACCAGTTCAGTAACTTTGCCAAGAAAACCCCATGCACAAGTTCATGGGGTCACGAAGAGTCAGACGTTACTGAAGAAGAACAAATTGTTAGAAAGGTTTTCCCTTACAGCAAGCTGTGTTTAACTTCTCCTTGTTCCTGGTTCTGCTCCCCTGAGGCTGAGCTGAATTAGTCTAATCCTTCTTTCTCTTGACAATCCTTCACATACTGGGAGATAAGTATCATGTGCCCCCAAAGGCTGCTCTCCTTCTGGTTACAGATCTCTTCTTCCTTCAACAAATTCTCACATGGGGTGAAGTCTTTTGACTGTCCTGACAACCCACCACCACCGGATAGCATCAATTACAACAATGTCATCTTCAAAAGGTGGTTCTATTACTTTCCAATCCATCTAGTAACTCAAAAAAATGGCTCTAAAGTGCTGCCAATAGAGGGCCTAAGAGAACTTGTTCTTTTAATCTATCAATCAACAAATATCTACTGCATGTTTGCTCAGTCTTCAGTACTGTGATTTCAGTGCTATGGGTGACAGAAGAAAAGAATAAGCCATGATCTCTGTCTTCAATATATAAGATGAATTTGTAACTAGTATATTAACTGGGGCAGCTAGGTGGCACAGTGAATAGAATGCCAGGCCTAGAGTCAGGAATACTCATCTTCCTGAGTTCAAACTTGCCTTTAGACACTTACTAGCTGTGTGGTCCTGGGCAAGCCACTTAACCCTGTTTGCCTCAGTTTCCTCATCTGTAAAATGAGCTGGAGAAGGTTCACAAAGAGTCAGACATGACTGAAAGGACTGAACAACAACAATGCATTAATTTCATTATAACGGATTTTTCTAAGTGATTGAACATAGTTGATTCGTAGGATCATGCACTCAGAGCTAGAAGGGACCTTAGAGGCCATTCAGTCCAAGTCATTCATTAAACAGATGAGGAATCTGATGTCCAGATGAGGTAAATTTCTTTTCCGAGGTCACCCGGGTGGTAAATGCAAAATGTAGGATTCAAACCCAGATTCTCTGACTCCACGTCTATGCCTTTTCTCTCATATAGCTACATGGCTTAAGATGCTGTCACCACCCCCCTCCTCCTCACCCCAATATTTTTCACACTATTAATCTGCTTACAGGGCACTCAGGTGGCACAGCGGATAGGCTATCAGGAAGTTACTGTTCTGTTTCAGTCCTGGCCCACTCTTCGTGACCCCATCTGGGGTTTTCTTGGCAAAGACACGGGAGTGGTTTGCCATTTCCTTCTCCAGCTCATTTGACAGAGGAGGAAACTGAGGCAGACAGGATTAAGTGGATTATTCAAAGTTACCCAGATAGTAAACGTCTGGGGCTGGATTTGAACTTAGCACTTTCTGACTCCAGGCCCAGAGCTCTATCCACTGCACCACCTTGCTGCCATCAGCGCTGGCATCCATTATTGAACATATCCTTTGTCACCATCCACTCAGTGTACTTCTTGAACCTGCACGTTGTCCCTTCCATTAGAATGTATGCTCCTTGAGAGCAGGGACCATCCTTTTACCTTTCTTTGTTATCCTTTTCTCCACCCCGCCTCCCACATAACAGAGTGTGTGGCGTGTACCAAGTGCTTAATAATTGTTTACTGTTGATTTCCTGAGTGATTCAGAATACTGAATCCCGTACCCGTTGGTTATACTCTATGAAATTGGAGTACGCTGTTTTCCTTTCTCCCTTTCCCCTATTTTTCACTATTCTGCATCCCTATTCTCCTCCAAAATATTGCCTACAGACTTTCCTGCATAGTCCCACGCACATCGGTCATTTTTTTCCTACTCGTTGAAACTTAGGTCCCCTGGAAGCACCAGGGATAAAGTTTTACTTGTTTGTGTGCTGCGATAACGGCAAAGAAGCTTCCTCGCTTCCCTCGGCGGGATTCTCCATGCCCAGACATAGCTCAGAGTCCCGGAGCGAGCAGAGCAGGCAGGTGAGCCCCGGCCCCTGAGTCTGTGGCCAGCTTTACAGCACAGATTCTGCCCAGCGATCTGCTCCCCTTCCTTGCTGCCCAAGGACACACCACCGACTGGAATCCTCCACCAGAGGCCCTGGCTCGGCGGATTAATACAGCTCACAACGACCGACCAAAATAGTCAAGAACACACACAAGGCAGACACAGAACAGGCAGGGAATCCCCGGCCAACTGCGGGTCGGGAAGATCCCTCAAGTTCTAGGCTTGGTAGGAACCCAATACTTTCTTGGATGCACAATGCATACACTGCATATTATTATTATTATTATTATTATTATTATTATTATTATTATTATTATTATTATTATTATTATTTTGGTTAGGCAATGGGGTTAAGTGACTTGCTCAGGGTCACACAGCTAGTAAGTGTTATGTGTCTGAGGCTGGATTTGAACTCAGGTCCTCCTGAATCCAGGGCCAGTGCTCTATCCACCGCACCACCTCACTGTCCCTACACTGCACATTTTTAAACAAATTTTTATTTTCTTTTGTTTTCATGTTACCTAATTTTCTGAATGTTTTTTCTTCTTTCTCATCCCAGAGAGCCATCCCTCATGATAAAGAATAAAAAAAAAAAAGGAAAAAACCCAATCCAGCCAAACTAAAGAACATATGGGAGGGGAATGACATTATATGCAGTGTTCTATGCCCATAACTCAACACCTCTGCAAGGAAGGTAGGGGTGGGTGGCAGGGTATGTCTTAGAAGTTTTAGTATGTCTTCCATTGGATGGATCTTGATTTGGCCAGAGAGAAGCAGTGTAAGAAATTTGAGCAGCTATGATGTTGTGGGAGGCCTGCTGCCTTGTGCGTTTGGCCTGCTTCTTCTCTATCCCAGATAATTTTACTAACCGTCTAGCTGGACATGGCCTTCACTGCCTGGATTGTGGTTTGTCCTTGCTGCCTCGGACCCTCAGGAGCTCTTCCCTTGCCTATCACTTTGGTAAATCTTCTCAAATCCTTTTTGTATATGTATTCAGGCTCTGTAACTAGGTTATAAGCTCCTTGGGTATAGGGACTCTCATATCCGTTGAATCACCCTAAAGTGGCTACTGGGCAGCTAGGTGGCACAATGGATAGAGTGCTGGGCCTGAAGTCAGGAAGATTCATCTTCCTGAGTTAAAATCTGGCCTAAGAAGTTTACTAGCTGTGAGACCCTAGGCAAGTCACTTAACTCTGTCTGCCTCAGTTCCATCCTCTGTAAAATGAGTTGGAGAAGGAAATAGCAAACCACGCTAGTATCTTTGCCAAGAAAATCCCAAATGGGGTCATAGAGTCAGACACTACTGAAATGACTGAACAACAGAAGTAGTGACCATACTGCTCTGCTCGTGGGGGTACTCTAAAAAAACATTGCCTGATATGACCATAACTTAAATGATGTATTAGCTCCCCACCTCCTGTAATGCTCTGATTAATGAGTCAGTGTTTGGGGAGCACTTTGAGGGCCCCAGATTAGAGGCAAGATCGAAGTACAATGTATTATTGCTTCACTTTGTTTATCTTTTGTACAGGCCCCTGGTACCATGGCAATATCCACTAAGTAAATAATGAATGGAATGAAGTACACTTCCTTCTCTATTTTAATAATGTCCTATTCATGCATTTTTCTAGAACAAAGAATCATTGTAGTCAGTAACTTTGCCAATCTCAGAATGATATCTTATTGCAAGCAGAATAAAGATGATAATATAAGGAGGTGAAATAGCATGCCATGTAAAAATTGATAAAGCTTCCATTAAAAACAAAGGAATATGAGTCAAGGAAGCAAAAACCTGAAAATATGGGAAACAGCTCCAAAAAAATTAACCTCTAAGGTGAAAATCATCCCTTACTTTACCCACAGCCTGCTAGGCACCAAGTATATCCATGTGAACCCATCAAGATAACAAGATAGAATCACAACTGTTGACCAAGTTTGTTTAACCAGCCAGTGTTCTCCTCTGGCAGTGATCTATCTTCAGGAACACTGGCAGAGACACTGAATAGAAAGAAGAATTCTTGCCAGCTATTTCCAGTGGGGAGTTGAGCTACCAAATATTTTCCTCAAATTATAGAAAATTGCCACTTGTCGAGTCCACACTATATTTAGCTTCTTAATTTGGAATTAAACATCTGTAACTTATTGTTGAGACATCCGGAGGGTTTGTGAAACCACCATAATATGAATAACGTCTCTGTTGTGTCCCACAATGACTACAAATAAGATGTCTCGGGCCCTTTTTGTAAAGTTTTCATGATGTCCTAAGGAGCCAATATGTCATTTTAGGATGAAGCCTCTGAAATCTCCTGAGCAGCAGTGTTGACATTTTTTC